TTATCTTAGTCTTGTGCTATCGTCTTGTGCCACGTCATCTGTTTTTTTCGTTCTCGAGTGGGCGCCCGACCAAACTGCGATCCACGGGCGCACCTCCCCACAGCATGAAGTGCAAACCGTGAGGGTGACAGGAAAGAGAGAAGGTGGGAAATGGAAGGAAATAAGGAAAACTACGGAAATAAGAAAGGTGGTCCTTAAAAAGTCTATGCCAAAGGTACTGGAATTTGTCATTTCTTGCCATGCTGCTCAGCAACACTTCATAATCGCGTTGACGCAAAAATGCCCAGTGTGCACAGGGCACAGACTAGAGGAGAAACACCCATTAGTTGGAGGCCATCGCTCTAGGTTGGAGGCCATGGGTATTAGTCTTTATAAGAAAGCTATTGTACTTTGCAGGGGTTGCGCGGATTCAAACGCGAAACGGCGTGATTCTGGGTTGCGTTGAGGTCACCAACTTGAGGACTGCAACGAGGGTTTCCAAAAAAAACTGCGCCTGTCACATGAGGCAAACATGTCAATAGAAAGGAAGCAAATATAGAACGAGGTGCAGCAAAAAAGTCATAGAGAAGGTTTAAGGGGTCTGGCTCCCCCTGACAAAGTTCACGTGTGGTCACCCCTGTGACCACGAAAGCGCCGCTGCCGCCTTTCCACTCGGGCGATGGTCGTTGTGTCCGTTGGGCGTCCAGCCCTTCACACCTACCACAGCCTAGATGGCCGCGAATGAACATGCTCAATCCAGTCAAGTCAAAACTGGCTCCGAGAAAAGGGCTTCGGCTTAGCTTTCGGTTCTCCACTTGATGGAGCCGAAGGTACCGACCAGCACTCTTCATCGTTCGTTGACATGTTGAACTGTTCAGCCAAGCCTGACAACTCCACCACCAATTGGGGATCAGCCCAAAAGTCACGGCACATCACCTGCAGAAACTTTTGCTTCCATATTCATGAAGCTTCCTGCTTGCCGCATGACACAACTCGGCCACTGCCGCAATGAATTGCGGTTCCTGGGGCGTCAATGCCCGGGTGGTAGAAGTCACCGCCACGGTGCCTCCCACCTTTTCACTCTCGTCCTGGTTCAGGAACTGTGAGTGAGCCCCTTGACGCAGCACGGTCCTGAACGCCTCTGACCATTCGCCTGTTCCTTCTTTCGTTGGGAGAATCTCATTGGCCTTCAGCATGGATCATACTCCTTGAAGACTTCCTTCATCGTATCCTCAATTAGGTCCAAGTGCACCGCTCCGGCCTGAATGGCAATCTGCGTCGTCTTGGTGTAGGTGAATGTCACCAGTCCCACTTCACCTCGAAAGACCTTGGAATTCACCATGTTCAGCGGGAGCTTTGCTTTACACATGGTGGGCTAAGAACTCCTCGCTCGACTTGACATGTCGCGACACCATGATTTCAAAGAGGGCCCTGATCTCTTCCTCCGCGAATCCTTTCGCTGGGATCTTCACCATCTTGCTTTCGATCGGAAAGTCCTGGATGTACAGTACTTCTGAGCCCAAATCTTCTGATTTGTCTTTCTTCTTTCGTGCCCTCAACGCATGTTGTTCGGCAGCGTTCTGAAGCATCACATTTGCATTGTTCAAATGATACACGTTTGACTCTATTGCCCCTCGCAGGATGTCCATTGCGTCTGCGTTTTCTTTTGTAAGGGCATCTGCAAGTTGCAGCCAAGCGGGGGCCCACCTAATCGATCCCCACAAACGTGTCAAAGCTTCTTTCACCATCACCAGGTCTATAGCCACCCTCATGTCCGAGATTGAGCCCGGGGACGCGAACGCTTGCAAATGATCGTATATGCTTCTGCAATCTGCGATGGCCTGAATTCCAAAATCTTTGAAGTACTCATGTCTTTTGCTCAAACTGAAAGAGGGATATTTGAGTTCAGCCAAATGACAAGCCAACCATTCTGTATGACCTAGGCCGTCTGCTAGAGCTTGGGTTTCCCCGGCAAAAGTTGACCAACTGTCCGTTTCAACCTGTAGGACTTCCAAACAGCTGGACTCCACGGCGCAGGACTGCCTGATTTCAAATCGGCCGCGGTGATCCCAACAATGTCCCCTGCTTGTGTCCCTTGCTTCTTTGCATTTGCAAATGCAGCATTGGTATGGAGGCACAGTTTGATCTGATCCAACGGGATAGGTAGAAAGGTCCAAAACAAAGCCTTGTGCGGAAATGGATTCGCGCGCTGGTAGCAAGCAAGCGGACCTTTTAGACCAACGAAAGACGAAAGTCAAGTGAAACAAATGCCTTAGCTCTTCGAACATGTGGTGGTACACTTCTCCTTGGTTTGTGCGCGTCATCCGAAGCTTGGGGCACATGCGGGCCGATCGAACTCCTGGCACACGTTATCTTGGCTCTTGGTTCTTGAACCGGCTGCAACGAAATCAACGGCATCGACTGCATCGTCCTCGGATTCACAGGTCGCTTTCACACTCGTAATTTTCTTTTGTTGATTTTGTTGCTTATGTGCATCTAGAACAATCTTGCGAGCTTGTCTTTGCAAACGTTTCTTCTCTTTAAGTTGCTTGTTCTCTTCTGTTTGTACCAAGGTCATCATGCCGCTTCTCAGAAATTCTTGCAAAACAGTCTTGTCTGTGTTAGCCTTTGTAAGCACGTTTGCTATGTTCTGCATTCCATCAATCCAACGAACCCATGCGTTTGGCTGTCGAACTGTCTCTCTGAGCAATGCCCCTTCTATGGCCATTCTCTTATCGGTTGAAGTGCTTGTTGCATCCTTCTGAAGATAGTCAAACACTGATTTGGCATCTGTCACATAAACACGCTGTCTTTTGTGAATGATGGACGGCCAATCTCTCAAGTTCAGCTCTCCCAAAAGTGCTTCCTCCAACAAACAACAACACCAATCACCGGCCTCCACTGCCTCTGCTAGGTGTGATGCTTCTGCTGCTAAAGTGGAACGACACACACGCTTTGTCTGACTGCTATGGAAGGCAAGGATCACGGCTTTAGCTGGCTGGTTCTCCAAAATCTCTGGATTCGCCAAAAGCAAGAAATATCCTCCAACACTTCGATATCTCAAAATGCCGTCCTTCTCCGGTGTTCCATTTGCATGACCGGAATCTGCTAGATGAATGAGAACACCTTTGCGCAAGTCAACATCGCTCCAGTATCGCATTCTGAAATCTGCACCTCTCTTGGCACTGGCAAGATATTGCTTCAGTCGAATCAAGTCTTCAACACATGCTGTCGACTTTGCACGCTGAATGACCCCGTTCTCAAAACAAAGGTCACAACGCAACTGCCTAGTCAACCAACCAAGTTCTCCAGCACCTGATTGAAACACCTGAAATTCCTCCTCCGTCAACGGACTGTCAGGTTGCTTCCGCCGGTGGGCATCAATCTTGATGCTCCTAGTGCTCAAGGAGTAGTTCCTCATAGAAACATCAACATGGTTGTCTTTGTGCTGCTTGATTTCACGGCCACGAAAAACAAACTCTCGAAAATGGTTTGTTGCAAACTTTAATGCCTTGCTTGAATGCTGGAACGCTGTTTCAAGATGATCCGGGTGAACACCACCCTCAACATCATCAACATGCGTCACAAGAATGCCACGCAACTGCTTGTCGTCACCTCGCAAGAAAAACAACGCAGGCTCCAAGCGACTCTCTGTCCAGCCATCTGACTCCAAGTAACCCTTCAAGGCTACCCAGAACATTCTTGCTGCCTCACTGAACCCATAGATTGCCTTCTTTGCTCGAAGCAGCTGTGTCGGCTTCAGGTTCCCAAGTCCGCCTTTTGGTGGCGAGAGGTAAATCTCTCGGTCCAACGAACGGCCGGAAAAATAGGCGTTCTTGACGTCCTTGCTAATCATGGTAAAACTCATGCGTGCCGAAACTGCTAAACAAATAGACTCTGCTAACGCACTGGCTGTGGGCGCATCACGTCTGTAAAAACCCAAAGACTTATCTTTGAATCCCTGCACCACAAGGCGTGATTTGGCAACAAATGACTGACCTTCAAGTCCCTCTGCTTTGTTTGTCCGGACCCAACGTGTAGGGATGACTAAGTCCGGATGGTTTCTGCGAATGCTCTTGCTAGTGGCTTCATCAAGTATTTCAATGGCATCCTTCTCAATCCAAGCGTGCCATTCTCTCTCATCTGAACCACCTGGCCCTGTAAACAACTGTTGAAGTTCTTCCGACAGATCTTTCAGAAAAATTTCCTTTCTCCCACGCTTCTTTGTTGAAGCTGTGCCTGGGGTAGCGCCCAGTGCTGCATCATACACTGCACAGTATTTGTCATCGAAAACATTGCGCTTAAATGCAAAAAGAAAGTCTTCGCAAGAAACATTCAACTCTGCATACGCTTGGGCATGTCTCCAAAAACTACGCTCTGCTGCGTGCAACAAATAACCGGGCTGCTCGACAACGGCATAAGCAAATAATGAAGCATCTTCTGCCGACTCTGTCTCTCCAACACGAAGTCTCTTTGCTTCTCTCTCCTGAGCCTCATCTTCCAAGTTCTCAGAAATTGCTGGCATCCTAGAAGAGGGAGCGCTGACATGGTAGTCATCCAAATCCGGGTCAAACTCTGCACCCGGAATAGGAATCTGCGCTGCTGGAAGTGAAGAACTGAAGGAACGACGGCGCTCCTCCTCAACCCATTTCTGTCGACGCTCTTCTTGTTTTCTCTTCCGCTCTTCTCGAACTTTGGCAAAGAACTCTGAAGATTTGCGGTCCTTCTTGGCATCTCGCTCTGACTCGTAGCGCATGCGCGCCATCGACAGCAAATCTGAAGAAAGATCCTCTGGGAGATACTCAGGCATCTGCTCATATGGCGGTTCAACATTCTCATCTGGCACGGAAGGTGTATATTCCATATCAACGTCTTGAACTGTTGTCAAAGGCTCAAAATGTCCTTGCCCGTCCCCGATCATTTTCTGTCGATCGTCTTCCTCAAGCTTGTCAACATCGAAACCCTCTGCTGGAGGTTTAGGCTGCTTCCTCAAGTCAATGAAACTAGTGCCTCCTGCTGCTGGCTGTGTGTCCAAAAGATCAACCTCGCTGCCTATGGTCGTCCACTGGCGGACTTCCTCATCGAAAGCCATTGCAAGATGCTCAGGACTCACG